GAGGGAGGGGAAGCAGTAAGTCCTGTCAGTAAGAGCATATGCCTTATTTACCTAGGTATTTGCTACAGAGGTGAAAAGTCTTGTTCAAGACTGAGAGAAGAGATAACGTTAAAACTTCCGGACAAAGTCAAGGTGCATCTCTGCTTCTGTGATTGGATCTGTGCCCAATCTGATAAACACCACATTTTTCATCAGCGCGGAACTTGAGGAAAGCAACAAGAGCCAGTTCCCAAGTAGAACTGGCACTCAAGCAGGTAAGTACATTTCCAATCAGCCCTGCGTGAGTCTTATTAACACGGTAGTGACAGAGGATAGGATTTGTATGCTCTAATCAGTTTACAAATTGCCTTGGAAAATTGCTCCCTCATTTAATTCTCCAGTAATCCCAAGGTCAGTTACTTAGTATCACTTTAGAGGTGAAGACATGGAAACTTAGGGAAACAAACTAATATGTCCAAGATCAGAAAGTGTCAGCCAGGGGACTGTTCCTGACACCAACCCTTATTCCCTTTCTACAGATGCAGCAATCAGCTTGCATGTCCATCTAAATCAAGAAAGTTCAGTTAATAAAGGTAGCATTGAAGCCAGTAAGCAGCCCTTCACCTGGGTATCACCTGCTAACCATCATACTGATCACCCCCATCCTCCCGTTTTCTCATATTTTCAAAAATGGAAAAGGAAATGTGTGAAAGAACTTCCTCTAGGGTTCTAGTCTACGGAAGACAGGGTCAAGGATGGAGAAGCTGCACAACAGGGACGGATGTGGCTGTACCTAGAGTCATCACAGGCCTTTTCTCAAAGGTCTAGTATGCAAGTCTAGTTTCGGTCTTTTGGTCTACAACACAGGCTGTTTGAACATGAGCACTTAGCTATCCCCTTCTCAAGATACTCCAGAGTAACGTGTCTATCCTGATGTATCTCTGGCTTTTTGTCAGAACTGACGGTCAGGATGATGAAAATGTATTCTGGGATGCAAATATACCACAGCATAAATTATTTCCTCACAGATCTGAGCTTTGGGAATGAAAAGATAAATAAAATTTTTCTTTTTTTTTTCTTTTTTGTGTATGGTAGATACATGCATATGCAGGTATGTGTATGTGTGTGTGTGTGTGTGTGTGTGTGTGTGTGTGTGTGTGTGTGTGTCCAAATCAGGTGTCTTCCTTAATCACTTCCCCCCTTGTTTTTTTTGAGACAGCATCTCTAGCTGATCCTGGAGCTCACTGATTCAGCCAGATAGGCTGGCCAGCCCCTGAGACACTCCTGTCTCTATGTTCTAGGGATTATGAGCATACACCACCATACCTGCCTTTTTACATGGGTGTTGGGGATCCAAACTCAGGTCCTTCTGCTTATGCAGCAAGCACTCCACTGACTCAGATATCTCCCCAGCCCTGAAATGTTTTACTAGGAAATAAAATGCTTCTTCTTATAACAAAAGAATAGTTTGACTCTTTCCATTTGGTTATGTGGACTTATAAATGCTTAGAAAAATGGAGAAAGAAAAATGATTATAATCTCACAAAACACTTTTAAAGATACAAAATATGCTGGGCATAGTGGTGCAAACCTTTAATCCCAGTACTTGGGAGGCAGAGACAGGCAGATCTCTGTGAGATCGAGGCCAGCCTGGTCTACATAGCAAGTTCCAGGCTAGCTAGGGCTATAAGGAAACCTTGTCTCAAAAAAGAAAAAAGAAAGGAGATATTACTAAATCTTATAAGAGTAACCCATCCAATCTTCAAAGGAACTAAAAATTTCTTGGTGTGAAGGGCAAAAAGAAGCATATAGGATTCTTTCTACGATTATCAATATTGTCTGGGGGGGCTCTCCCTCCCCTCGTGGGCCATTGGCCACCGATCCACGAGGACAAAGGGAGCAGAAGCGACGAAGAGGGTCAGGAAGGCCAGTGAGCATGATGGAAAAGACCTTCCTGGAGTCTGCTTCAGTGATACAGCTCGTTTATTCAGGGGGTCAGGGAAAATATAGTGTGGAGGCAGCAGCCAAAGCTTCAGCTGATAGGTGCTCATAGTATGCTTTATTTACATGTGGTGGGGGGATCCTATCATCCGACTATAGGGCAATGCCTAATTACCATAAAGAAAAAACCTGGGGGCAGTTTTATTGCAGGTAACTATGCCCAAGGTCATGTTCCAAATAAGGTCAAGCATCCCTGCTTGGAGGCACTTTCCAGATAAGTCAGGCAGAGAATAGGAGGGCCCCACTGAGAAAGGGAGTCCTCCATACAGTGCCAAGCTCCTTAGAGCTCTCTGGACATGGTGGACTGCAACCTTAGCAGCAGGGTCCCCCAACAATTGTCAATGTCTTCAACTTCATGATTAAATATTATTAATCACCTATTCATCACTTGGAAATTAATTAGCTTGATTCTCTAAATCATGAGTCAGGGAGCTGCTAGGGATGCTCAGCTGAGTAGCACACCTGGACGGGGCAAGTCATTCATGTCTGTGGGCCTTACCACCTGGAGAGGGCTTCAGGCATCCAAAGACTGAGCTGATCTCTCACATCTGTCCACAACTCTTACTTCCTCGTAAGATCTGGTTTATGAATTCCTATGACATCTTTTCCATATCATCCCCTCACTACTTCTCCAGTTTCCCCCTTTCCTAAATCTGAGACTACAAGTTTCTGTACAGAAGTCACTCATTCAAAGATAAGTCTGTGTTTCCGATATGTTGTGTTTTCCATGTACAATGTGTACACTCCCTGCTGTCCTTAGGATGTATGGCCACCCATGGAAGGGTCCCTAAGCCAGGCAACAGGAACCACAGTCAGCAATTCACTCATAATAGAGATGGAAGTGCTAGGTGAACAAAGCCCTTTCAACACTTCCATCTAAGAAGTCACCTCTGCTTGCTTACATAATGCCATCTTCTGCATCTAAGCTTTTCCTACTGACTCAGCCTGGAGTCAAGTACGAAACAAGTAACAGAGATCCTTGGGAAAGTATGTGTATCCTAAAGTGGAGGAGGGGTGGAGGGACGGCTCAGAGGTTGAGAGTACTAGTCGCTCTTGCAGAGGACTGGGTTCCATTCCTGCATCCACATGGCAGCTAACAACCATCTGTAACTCCAGTTCCACGGGATCCAGTGCCTTCTTTTGACCTCTATGGGCTTTATATCCATGTGGTACACTTACATAGATGCAGGCAAAACACTCATACACATAAAACAAAAATACATAAAAATAAAGCAGAGGAGAGAGAAAGAGGAATACATTGTAAATTTATGAGCTTAGGATGTGAACTGATTCTCAAAGGGGCTCCCCCCGTTACTGAGGATTCTGTCATCTCTTGCTTTTCCATGACCTAACATTGATTATCCTTTGGGGAAACACAGTTGAATTTCACTTGATAGAATTTGATTTTGCAGATCAAGCATATATACCGTTCATTCATTCATTCACACATTGGCATGAATCAACTCAACTGCAATCATTTCCTCTTAATGTGTGGTTTAGAGAGAAGCCCCGGGCTGAGGTCCCACCCCCAATATTCAGAGGAGAGCGGGAGAAAGGAAGGCAGCAATGCTTGGAGCACAGACCATTTCTGAACCACACTGCATTTTCGGGGCCTCTGATCAGTATGCGAGAAACATGGACCAGGGAAAGGCCTTGGGAAAGATGCCATAGACAAACTCCAGCTTTTCAAATTTGATTTGCACACGACAGTGAAGGGAAGAGGCCCTCTTCTTTCTCTGGCCTATATCACAAGCCCCCTTCTACCAAGGTCCACGCTTGACCCAATCTTCTAAAAGCTCGAGTACAAGCTGGCATGGTGTTTCGTGCCTTTACTTTTAGCACTAGGAGTCTGAGGCAGGACAATTATGAGTTTGAGGCAAATCTGGGCTACAAAATGAGCCCCAGGCCAGTCTGGGCTACATGTCAAGACTCTTTGTCTTTAAAAAGAAAAGTAAAGAAACAAAAAGCAAAGAAAAGAAAAAAAAGAAAAGTAAAGAAAGAAGAAAAGGGTATGATAGTAAGTTAAGAGCCTGCAGCCTACTACCAACCACATGTAAATGAGCTAAGGCATAGGCACGGCCTCTCGCTAACTACTGCAGTCTTCAATGGTAAGCTTCTGAAAATAATGTACTAAAGTTCTATGCTCCCTGACTGCCACACATGCAAGACAGACCTAAGGGAATAATGTCAAGAAAGGTCAGCTATGCCCTTCTGTCTAAAGCCTGTAGATCCCTAGAGATCTGTCAGTCCCCAGTGATGTCTCTATTTAGTGCTGTCAGTGGAGGCGGGAGAGGCCCAGAGGACTGCTAATGACTTGTGCTAACTGGAGCACAGAGGAGCCGCTGAATGCAAGCTAGACACGCTTCCCTTCAGGGAAAAGGAGTCAAACCTGATATCTGAGAGTGAGGAAAAGCAGAAAGGACTATGGGCTATTCATGAGCATCTTCATTTACATCTCTTTGAACCCATCTGCACATTGTGCTGAGGGGTGCACGGGGGAGGGGGTCAGAGCTACTCTATCCCATTATCATTTGTTTATTTTAGTATCAAACAGTGCTACTGAATCAAATGCACAGGTGCTTCATCACGCTCTATGACTGGAGAGAAAAGGATGATTCAACTTCATTGAGAAGAAAAATAGAAAATAGCTTCCTGTTTGATGAAAGGACCATGAAGACCACATGGACTGTCCATGGCACACCTTGAAGAAGCAAACAATTACCTGTGACCAGAATGGAAACAGTACATCATCCTGAAAGAGCAATGCCTGGAGACTGGTGTGATGGGATGTGCTTCCTTT